GAAGGGAGTCCCCCAGCCTGTAGGTATGCTGCTGGTTCTTCCTCCCCACGTGCAGCACCTTGCACTTGTCAGTGTTGAAACCCATCCTATTCTCATCCGCCCACCCCTGTAGCCTGTCCAGATCCAAATGCAGCCTATTCTTTCCTTCTTGCGCGCCCACTTGACCCCACATTTTAGTGTCATCTGCAAATTTGAACAGGGTGCATTTTACCCCTTTGTCCAAGTCGCTGATGAAGATGTTGAACAGTGCGGGCCTGAGGACTGAGCCCTGTGGAACCCCACTGCCCACATCCCTCCAGGTTGAATAGGACCTGTCCACCACCACTCTCTGGGTACAGCCCTCCAGCCAGTTAGTGACCCTTCTGACTGTGTAGGCATCAACACCAGTCTACTAGTTTTTTAATGAGAATGGGGTGAGAGACTGTGTTGAATGTTCATCAGTGACCTGGCAGATGGGATAGAGTGCACCTTTGGCAAGTCTGCAGATGAGGAGTAGTAGATATGCCGGAGGGTAGTGCTAGAATCCAGAGACCTAGACAAATTGGAGGATTGGACTAAAAGAAATTTCAAAAGATTCAACAAGAACAAGTGCAAAGTCTTGCACTTAGGACAGAACAGTCCTATGCACCAATACAAGCTGTGGACAAACTGGCTAAGCAGCAGCTCTGTAGAGAAGGACCTGGGGGTTACAGTGGATGATAAGCTGAATATGAGCCAACAGTGTGAACCTTGATGCCAAGAAGGCTAACAGCATACTGAGCTACATTAGTAGCAGTGCTGCCAGCATATGGAAAGAAGTGATTATTCCCCTCTATTTGCCATTTGTGAGGCTACATCTAGAATACCATGTCCAGTTTTCAGTTCCCCACTACAGAAAGGATGTGGACAAATTGGAAAGAGTCCAGCAGAGCATCAAAAATGGTTAGGGGGCTGGGACACATGACTTCTAAGGAGAGGCTGAGGGAACTGGACTTATTTAGTTTGGAGAAGAGAAGAGGAGGAGGGATTTAATAGCAGTCTTCAACTTTCTGAAGGGTGTTTCCAAAGAGGATGGAGATTGTTCTCAGTGACAGCAGATGACAGAACGAGGAGCAATAGACTCAAGTTGCAGTAAAGGAAGTTGAGGTTGTATATTAGGAAAAACACTCTCAGGAGGAAGGTAATAAAGCAGTGGAACAGGTTACGCAGAGTGGTTGTGGACATTCCATCCTTGGTGGTTTTTAAGACCTGGCTGGACAAAACCTTGACTGGGATAATCCATTTGGGGATGGCCCTGCAATGAGCAAGGGGTAAGACTATATAACCTCCTGAGATCCCCTCCAACCCTAATTTTCAATGATTTTATGAAAGCCCTGTGGATCTCTTCCTCAGCTATGAAGTACTACACCTCCTTTATTACTATGAAAAATGTGTATTAGTAAAATACATACTATTGTGAGTATTACAGAAAAAGTTCTATATTTAGGGTTTAACAGTGTACAGTAATAAGGCACAGGGCCATATGTGGAATAATGAGGCAACAACAAGACATTGAAAAAAACTAACTCAGCCCACTGCAAACACCCTCCAATATGTATGAGTTCTGGTGTTTCCATACTTTGCAATACTTGACTTTTCAATCTTCAATGTTCTTCTAACAAATGTTTTGTTTTTGGCTGGGAGAGAGAGGGCTGGTAGGTAGCTTTATTTGTAACATGCATTCAGCATAAATATTTCAGGTTTTAGGGCATGCTAAAATTGAGAAAATATAGTTGAAGGCTCTATTACTTGGTTTTAGCCAGTTTTAGAAGTTTATATTATCTTAGTAACAGTCAATTTATTTTATAGAATGACAGGGGAAACAAAGTTGCAAAGAAAATCAAAGACCTCCAACTTTCAACTTTATGGAGAGGAAGAGGATCATGTCAAGGTCACTACTGTGCCCGGGAAAGTAGATTCTGAAGATATTCCAGTTCTGTGTTCAACATGTCGACAAACAATATACCCAAGTCATCTTCATCATCATAAAAAAGAGCACAAAGCCCTCATGGTTCTGGGTTTTAGTCACCCATGGTCAGAGATAGATACAAAAACACTTTCAACTAGGAGATGGAAACTAATCAGAAGCCTGCTCAAGTCTTCTGAATACAATGAAAGAGAGAAGCAGAAGATTGATTATTCATTTGAGCTACTTAAAGATAGGTCAAAGTGTACATCATATTATGATACTGATAATATTATCAACAGTTGTAGGCATCCTACAGTCAGAAATTCTCTAATAAAAGCTTTAGCAGTCTGTCAGGATAAAAATGCTATGTGGAGACCAGATATGGAAGACACATTTATTGTGGTAGATAACTATGGAAACAAATCAGATAGATGTTTTTTGGGTGTTCTCGATGGAGGGCATGGCACATCTGTTGCCGAAACGGTTTCAGCTGAACTTCCACTTTTATTTCTCGACCAACTTTCTCAAGCCAGTTCCTCCTACGAAGTGCATGAAGATGAGCAAACCATTCTAGGCTCTTTTTCCACAGTAATCAAGGAGAATTATAGGGAACAGGAGAAAATTTTCTTTGGTGAAACACAGATTGGTAACACTACCAGCACAAACACCTATGAATGGATTCACAAAGCATATGCCAAGGCATTCTGGAGAATGGACAGACTTTTACAGCTGGGAAGGAATGAAGTTTCCAAAGTTCGCTGGAGTGGCTGTACAGTTGTCACCTGCTTATTGGAAGGAGTCAGCAATGGAAAGCCATGCTGCATCAAGAAACAAGACAAGGCAAAGTTGCCCCAAAACAGCAACAGCAACTATTCAGTGGATTCATCCCGAATTGATGGTGGCATATTACATGTGGCTAATACTGGTATGTAAGTTACTGAGGTTTTTTTTTTTTTTTTTTTCTCCCCTTTCTCCCTTGTTCTTCCACCACTAGTTGCCTCAGATGTTTTCAGTATTACATGAAGGAAATCTGCTTTGAATAGTACTTTCTTCTCTTGCTCTATTGTTTCCATTTGAGTAGGACTAACCCCAAACTTTTGAAACATTAAGAGATTATTTTCATACTTAAGCACTTCTTTTAAAACTGAAGCTCTACCCTGTTCTGATTCTGTTTTCACTACTCGTATTCTTGTCTTCTGCCTGCCATAGGGATAAACACATACATTGCAAACAGAAAATAATACACTTTCACCACTTCTCCCTCCCATTAAACTTACCTGGAGGCTTCCCATTTCCTCCATGTAAAATCCCTTTGTGTAACAAGACCCCAGTGTGACTAGAGGCAAGGCATTTTACTTTGCAGATGTGTCCAAGCTTTCATAGGCGACAAACCAGATTGCATACCTGGGTAGAATGACCCCAGAAAAATAAAGACAAAAAATAACTTTGGCATGAAAATTATATGCCATCATTTGTTTCAGAATGTTGTAAGAATCACTCCTGCATAATTTTAAACCTAAATACATTACTCTGATTGCATATCCATCTTTTCACTCTACCAAACAAGTATTCGTATGTCAAGAGAAAGGCCTGTCAGACCACATTATGTAATCATCTCTTTGCATTGCTAATGTTCCTGTCCTTATAGCAAAGGCACTGGTTTTAAGACTACAAATTATATTGTAGCCACAAGTGAAATGGGACATTAATTCAATATAATTTCTCTCTGCAGACTGTCACTAGTTTTACAGATGTAAAACCTAAGCTAGTTTTGAAGAGCATACTTTTAAGTAGCAGAACTCAGTGCGGCTTGCAGACCCATTTGGGAATCTGAGAAATATTCAGGCAGCTGGCCCATACTTTGTTCTGCACTGTTGTAATTTTACTTATCAATACCCATGCTTGCACATTCAAGATAGCTTGAGTGTATATGCACAAACTGCTGTCACACCTTTTACTGCAGTGTAGACATACAGGTAAAAAAAGTCCATTTCCAACATTTTCTGGGCTAGCAGACACTACTCTGTCACTCCTTTTACTGGAAAAGGGGCTTGTATTGTGGCCTGAATGTAATAAACTTGGGAAGATTCTGTTCTTTGGTAACAGTGTTCCTTAGCTGCAGCACTAGCTGTACCTCTATGCCCTGCTCATATCTTCTCCTCTCCTCCCCCACAACCCAAGCTTCAGCCTGGACTCAATATATTAACTGTGCTGTCCAAATCAAATGTAGCTAAATGAAGCAGGACTCCAATTTGGAGCAATCCTTTTGGGAATAAAAGGCCACGAATAATTGCAGTTTATAAAATATATTTCACTTTTTACTCACCCTAATAAGCCATATTGGAAAATCAAATTCCAACAGCTTTCAGGTAAAGCTCTCCTTCCGTACATACTGGTCATATGCATCCTTACACCCACAAGGCAACTTGTGCATCACCTTACAAAAGTGGAGTAACAGATTTGAATTTGAAGTAGCAGGAAAAATGCACAGTGGTTTAAAGCTTAAATCCAACAGATGTTTTTTGTGACTAGCAAAGCTATCATGCAATTCTCAGGTAAAGTCTAATGCAGTTAAAGGGATGTCACAGGTCACACAACTGTGCTACATTAGCAGACATGTTAGAAATAATTCAGTCTACTGTAGCTTCTCTTTATTTGCCATCAGAAGCTGATATTCTTATGCATCCCCACAAATATGAAGAAATCATCAAAAGCTTTGTCGCTTACAAGAAACGTGGCCTTAAAATAAAACCCACCCATACAAAATTTGAGGAGAAACCTTATTTAACATACCATCACAGGTAGACCTCACATAAACATGTCACGCTAAGTTGCATTTCAAATGTGAGTGCTGCCTGTGCACAGCCTACAAAACTTTAACATCACTATCTTATTTTCCTCAAGTATTTCCTCAAATATTTACTGAACATGTCTGAAGTTGACACACTGTAGATGGCTGGAGATTAACACTTGAAAGCTTTGTGCTAGTGTTTCTAGAAGGCTATGCATTGCTTTGCTACATGTGAACTGCACAAGCTTTTGAGGCAGAGGGTGATCAACTGAAAGTCCACAAATGTGTGTAGCCAAAACTGACATCATTGGTGCCAAAGGGATCAGCTACGCATTTAAACTTCCCCACATCAGTGGCCGACCCAACTTTGGGGAACACAGCGTTAATAACACTATTGCTGCTTTAACGCTTCCTTTGCTCCCTTCCATCTGCATTAGAGTTCTGCTTTGAAATTCTGTTGATATGGGAAGAATTGAATCCCACTCCCTTTTGGATGTGTTAATACTGCAGAGCCAGAATTAATTGAACAACAGATCCTTTACCTCCCCAGATCCTGTTTGCAAGTCTGATCTATACAGGAACTTTTATAGGTACCTTCCAACCCAGTCTAGCCACTGTGTTTTCTAGTTGCTAAGGTAAAGGTCACACACCAATTCCCATGGGGCAATCTAATAACAAGGATAAAGTTCAGTTCCATCTCCAGAAACCTGAGTCTACTCAAATACCAAAAAAATGCAGGTTATTAATCCAGGAAGAGAGAGACACAAGGCAACCCTTACCAGGGTGAAATTTTATTGGACCTTTCAATGGAATTAATAAAATAGGCAGGTCCTCCAACGTCTTGAGAGGCTTCTCTTGTCCCTTTCATAAAAATCACCAAAAGTTACTGTTTTCCTGAAAACCACCCAGTTCTAGTTATGTTGTTCTAATTCACACTGTGAAAAAAAAATTATAATTTTATTGTAACAAGTTGATCTCTGCAGCTGAAAATCCTTATGCCAGCATAAGGAGAAAGAAATTTAGATCTTGCAAAGGCATGCATGTTATTAAATAAAATTTAAAAAATGACTTTAAAAGTTAAAAAGCAACATAACAACCAATGTTGTTATATCCACAACAGTGTGGGGCAGTACTGCACTATCCCCCCAGTACCATACCATTTCCTTTCCCTTATGCAATTTGCTGCTCACCTTTCTGTTCCTTGCTTGATTTGATGCTCTGTTTTCTAGTCCCTGTCCTATCTGCCACTGTGCAGATCTGCATCTGTCATGTGCCACAGAGACAGCCCATATCACTTGTGGTAGTAGTGCTGCAGGTTGGCCAGCCCTGGTCTAGAACATGACAAAAGCAAATGCAAGAACTATACTGTTCCTAAAGGACCCTCTACATATGCAGGTAAAGGCACAAGGGGATCTAAGACATGATCCACACAGTTGCATCTCCTACCATGCCACACATGTCCATGGCAGGAGGTATTCACATTAGATCCCATTGTGCCTTATTGCTGGTGCAGGGGGAGCCCAATCCCAGGCTCCCCCTGCACCAGCAAGAAGCAAGCTCCTGCAGCTGGGGCAGGAGGGGCTCTCCTAGCTCCAGGTTTCACACACCAGAGGCTGGGAGATCACAGCAGCTGTGACCTTCCAGCCCCAAGGGTGGGAAAAGCCAAGGCTGGAAGACTGCAGCAGCTGAGCTCTCTCAGCACCACAAGCACTGTTTTATGACGGGATAACGTGTAGCTGGTCTCAAGGCAACTATGCAATTAACCAGTTAATTGCACAATATCTGTAACATATAGAGGGGGCCTAAATTAATCTATTCATACTGTCCTAGTCTGTATATAAAACACACATTACACAGTGCTAAAATACCATAGTAAATTACAAATGAACATCAAGTCAGTCACTTTCTGTAGCTTTCATGTACATTTCCTGTGTTGGTGTTCTACAGTTTTTAAAGCCTAAGAGTTTCCTCCAATGTAAAGTCTTTGTTTTTGACTAACAAGCATATTCTGACTTGAATAAGAAATGCTAACACAATTACATTTTCTCTCCTATAAATTCAACTCCCTTCTCAATTGCCTTTGAATTCCCTTCTATAACCACACTAGAAAAATCAGTGTATTCATTAATACTCGACTACCTCCCCTTGAAACTAAGCTGGGGTATAGTATCAACAGGTAATTTGGAACATATTATATTCTTGGCAAAATATTTATAATTTAAATCAAACTTAAAAACATAATAGCTTTTAAAGCCAGGTTTATTTAGAAAGTATGCATGCCTTCCAAAGCTAACTTGAGACCATTCCTAGTAGACAGCTTAAGGATACATGTCAGTGTACATCATAACATAAGCTATACAAAAGCTATGTAAAAAGGACAACACAAAGTATCAGTCCAAGAATAGGTTTTTAACCAGGCTGGTGAGGTTTTGAAACAGTCTACCACGATAGGAAATAAGCAAAACAAAAGTAGTTTTAAAATGGAGATTAGTAACTAGATAAAAATGACATGCATGACATGACTTGCACACAACAGGAGGGACCCCAGAATGTCTAGTCCAGATTCACATCACCAAATAAATGACTCATTACTGTGACTGACCTATCAGCAATGCCGTTTATTACAAATTTCTGTTCAATCATGAAATGCAACATTATTTTAATTTTAGGTAATGTACATGCAGTCTTATGCAAACATGGAAAAGGCTACTGCCTTACCAAAGAGCACAGCACTTCAAGTTTAACTGAGAGAACACGTATACTTCAAAGTGGTGGGAACATCAGTTCAAATGAACCCAAAGGACTAGTAGAAGGACTCATCGGAGCTACTCGTGGCCTTGGACATCATGGAGACCCAAAGTTGAAAAAATCCGTTATTCCTGTACCTCATATGACCTCTGTCCCTGTAGACGATTCATGTCAATTCCTCATTTTAGCTTCTAATGGGCTTTGGGAAGTTTTGGATAAAAGTGAAGTGGTTAAATTAACATTAACAATGTTCACCTATTATTTGGAAATGTACAAACATGCTAAGCTAGAGTTTCCTGTGTGTAAACAGCAGGACTCAATGGTTCCCTCTGCGGATGACTTGAATGATTCAAAAGGCATTAATGACCTAATGGAAGAAGTCAACTTACTATACTTTAATAAAAATGTTTTTCTGGATCAATCTGAAGACAGTCCAAAACAAAATGATGCAAGTTTGCACTTGTCTAACAACAGAAGACATTTGCAAAATGAAGACAAACTGCAGTCAGGTTTCAGAGACAGTTTGGAAAAAGAGGAAGAACTAGATGATGACCATACAAAACAAGGTGATACAGAAGCATGTCTCTCTAATCACAGACCATGTTCACAAAACACAGAAATAATCCAGCTAGGCTCCATCACTCAAGAACATTGTGATGTAATGGAAAAGCTGGAAGATGATACAGAAGTAGGTGCATCTAACAATAGTGAATCACATTCACTAACGGCAGGACAAGGAAGAAATAACACCTTCTATGAGAATGCAGCAAATTATATTAGCAAACAACTGGTAAAAACTGCACTAGCAGCAGGTTCTAGAGAAAACATTACTATTTTAGTTGTACTTCTGAATGGATGTGACAGGATACCCAATTATATTAGCATATAACATATACCACGTGCTTACTAGAGTAGCACAGTGTGTATAACAAGCCTGAATTTGGCAAATGTCATGTAAAGTTACTCGTAAACACCCCTACATCTCATATACAACTGTGTGAATGCACTAGCTACAATGTTATGAAATGCAATAAACACTAATCACACTACTTTCCTGTTTTATACCACTTTATTCAAACCTGAGCACCTCAATATAAAACTAAACACTGGTGAACTGTCATTTTCCTTGCTAAGCCAAAATTTACAATCTGCACAGGTAAGTTTCTGCTAGCAGTTCAACATTTAAATAGACTATCTCTTCTGACACACTTGGTAGATTTCATATAATGAAAATAAACTAAAAGAATTAGTGCAATATACCAGACAGATCAAGATAAAATGGCCTTTGGAAAACAGAAGTTGCAAAGTTCATTACTGACAGACAGCAGTACTTATGTAACAGGTACAAGAGCATCATTTATTACTGTTCTGGCCATAAAGGAAGAACTTAGAACCCCCTTAGATTAGGGAGAAAACGTTAGCTTTAAGTAACTGTACATTTGTATACTTTTAAGCAACTCTTAAATATTACAGAAAGTATTAAACAAATGTAGACTACAATGCAGAGTACCCTATTTACAGTACATTAATATCCAAATTTAAAATCAAGTTGAATGTACATGATTGTTAGTGCACCAACTAGGTTTCTTTCCTTAAGGGAAAAACAAACTGCAATGGCCAGCAATGATCAAAAACATGAAAGAAATCACAGACACCTAGTTTGTCTTGGTTTTACTTGCAGAGCTCTTATGGTTTGTAAAAAAAAATCCTAGTTCTGTGAAGCTGATTCATTGGTTTGTGTCTTCTAAACAGATAAAAATGGAGTTGAACTTGATTTACCACTATTTCCTTTAAATAACTGGATAGACTATAATTTACATACAGTGTAACAACTCAAAATCTGGTTTTCTGCAAGCATGAGAATCTTAGACTTGTTAATGCTGCCAGTATTGTTTGTAGTTAAATTATTAAAACGTGGAATGTATAATTAACCAGGAGATATCTACCGAAGCAACTGGCTGCATGAATACTGTGAATAAGCTTAAAGTAACTTTAGACCCTGTTTCTAGAAGGTTTTTTTTAAAGCACAAATAAGTTTGAAGAGTTCCAATTCTATTCATTATATAATAATAACCACCAATACCTGTAGCTGGAGAAACTAGTTGATTAAGTCAATAAAAGTAGTTCTTCTTTATCCCTATTGGCAAGTGATATTTTTAAAATCTTGCAACTGAAACAAGGTTATTCAGCTTCCTTTTCCCCCACCTCTATTGCTGAAACATTACAGCCAGTGATGCATGCATGTTAAAAATTAAGGTCAAAACAAAACTCTGTATTAGAAACTTGACTATGTCATAAGTCTCTTCTTTGTTTTGGAAGTTGTATTGGACAGGGTTAAACACTCCAATTCCATTGTTATTAACAGTTAGGAAGCAGAAGACTATTTGAGACAGTTTAAAGCACCTGAAGGTTTAGTTACTACAACATTGACTCTTGGTTGGTTGCGTGGGTTCAGTAAGATCTACTCCTCTTCCTCTGGCAGAGTTGGCTCCTGCATTCTGTGGTTCATTCTTTGGCAATTTTTTAGCTACAAGATTAACAAGAAAGAGTAAGCAAAAGTTATTATTCAGACTTGGACTTGCTAAATGACTTAGTAAACAAATATTCAGGTGGCATACTCCTACTAAAATATATATAATTACCAACAGAATAGCAGCTCTACAAGCCATCTGATGATTAGGCTTCAATGTCTGAGCACGATTAAAACCAGTTATGACGACCTTAAAAGCTATCACTTCCTACACAAACATAACAAAAATCTCTTTTGAAATAGCCCAAATCATCCAACAATCACAGTGATTAGTGACTTTGACCCTCACCAAAGAGCTTGTTCATGTAGGCGTTCCTCTTTGTGCAAGGAATTAAGTCAATGGAGATAGGCCATGTGTGTGCTGCCAGAAAACTTGTTCTGGCAGAACAAGGTGCCAGAGAACTTTTGTTTATAAAAGCCACAGTATGCTAGAAAATCTCCAAACAAAAAACACAGCCACTGCTCTGAAAAGTGATCAACTGTAAGATAAAGGAAGTGAGAGGAGGTAGGAATACAACATATAAGAAACTGGCCATAACCACATAGATCTTATCAAGGGAAAGAAGGGAACTGATACATTTCCAACTGCCAACCTAGCCAGGATATGCATTTGCATACACAAATAAGCAGCCCTTAGCTCTTGTTCTAGTTATCTAGTTATCCCATCTCACCCAAGCTGCCCATTCTGTATAGTACTCTTAAGTTTGTTAATTGACACTTGTCCTTCAGTAGTGTAGTCTATAAATCCGGACTGAAGGAGAATTTTGCAGCCAAAATAACTTAACAATTCTTCACCTTTCTGTGCAGTAGTTCCTACCAGTCTTCTGTTAGAGAAGGGGTCAGTTCTCAATACAGAGGAAGAGGAGAAGGAATTTTACAGGACAATCTTGCACCTTGCTATGGGAAACTGGGGCAGTTTCCTGGAGCCAGCTTTGTTCAATGTCTTTATCAACTATTTGGAAAATGGCAGAGTAGGACTCAGTGGTGTGTGAGTGGGATGGTGGCA